GGTCGAACAGGCCTGGGAAGCAGAGCATGCACTGGTAGATGGCGATTGCCGCTCGACGGGACAAGTGCAGGCCTGCATGGTTTGGCTTGTCTGGCAACATGATCGCTGAGCTGTTGTCTGACGATGATGAAGTCTATCTGGGTGCCATGCCCAGTGTGCTCAGCGCCGTGCGGGAGGAAGGTCCTGGCGGGCGCACCTTTCCTTGACCAGCTGTTGAGGGCTACACAGCGATGTGCTCGCAGTAAGTCTTGTAGCTCTCCTTGGTCTGTTTGATGGACGGTGGACTTCTCGACGACTCCAGGGCCTACATGGGGAGGTTCACAGAGTACCGGCGTATTGAAATCCCCGACGAGCGCACATCCGTGCCTTTGTGGTACTCCTCCAAGCCACCGGTCAACCAGTGTCCACAGGTGCTTCCGCTGCTTGACCAAAGCCTCAACGCGACATGTGCCATCAAGCTCCTTCTTCTGAACGTTCCAGGAGTACTGATACAGGCACAGAAGGTCAAGTGGCACCTGAAAGAGCAGACGAAGATGCAGGGCCCGTCCTGGCAGAAGATTGCTCGATCTGATGCTATCAGAAGGCAGTAAGCCTCTGCGGATCATACAAAGTATCCCTGAGGCGTCTTTGCCAGCACTGTGAACGACATGCCACCCCTGGTGGGTTGCCTCGGCCGAGCTTGTAGAGAACTCAAGGTCCTCCTTCCAGTTGGTCTCCTGGAGCACGCATATGTCCACTCCGCGTCCAGCCTTGTGCTCGGTCTGGAGCCAGAGGATCACCTCTTGGTAGCGCCCTGCAGAGAGGCCTCCGCAATTCCACGTGACAACGCGGAGTCTGTGCTCTCGTCCCGGGTGTTGCCTGTCCTCCCTGGACGGTGCTGCCGTAGAGGTGTGTGCCCCACGCAGTTGCTGGAGTGACATCCGCTTTCCTCGGTAGAAGGTTGTGTGATCTGCGTTGTTCTTGGCTCTGCCAATGGCACGAAGTAGTGCCCGTTTCCTCATCGGTCGGGAGGAAATAGTTCCGGGGCGATTGGTGTTGCATAATCCACTTGGCTTCGCCCTGTTGTGTAAAGATAGGCCTGGTGTGTTGGCTTCAGGGCTCCTGTGGTGGTCAGGAGGCCCAACCCTCGCATCTGTCATCGTTGTCTGGACAGTTTCGACAATGGATATGTGAAGACAGACAATCAAAGTCGTGAGCCAGCGTGTGACTGGCAAGCGATGACTCCGGGACTTGGGACCCGGACGGCTTGTAGTGCTGGAAGTTCTGGGCCGCGAAGAGAGGAGCAGGAAGGCCTTCGACCTGCGGCTGTGATCATCATGGCCAGGGTGCTGCGTGCACTCCGGGTGGCCTCCGGTTGAGGATGTAGAGGTGCTGTGGTCCTGTATCATGGGCGGAGAGAGCATACATACGTACATACGTACATACGTACATACGTACATACGTACATACGTACATACATACATGTGTATATATATATATATATAGATCCTGCGACCTCAAACGTAGCATTAATTTCTGCCCCCCCCTGGAACGTAGCATTAATCGGTAACCGTGCCTAAAATCAGACTTTCGTAGCGCAAATGCTGCAGCACGTGCGCTTTTCATATGAACGAGCGCTTTCGGGAAGTTGTTGTTGATGGCTGAATGCGATCATACCGAAGCCGTACTTTCGGCTATGATGTACGTCTTACTGTATGCTATAGGGGCTGCGAGCCTCTTACTTTCTGCGAAGCCCTCCGAGTGCTTCTATGTGCGCCCCCCCGCCAGTGTGTGCATGTATGTAGGAAGAAGCAGCAACCAATCATCATCGAAGAGGAACCTCAGCTGCTTCGAGAGGTA